AAAAAAAATGTCGCTAGCTTAAACAATGTTTCCACGGCAAGTGATTCGTATCCCATTCGTAAATCGCTCTCTCATTCGTGACTGACGCCCCAATTACGAACCGAATCACGTAATTCGCCATACAAAATTTTGACAGCGAATCACTTCATTCGTAGGTGATTCAGATCCAATCACGGTGCGAATCAAGAACAAATCGTTGTCTTCTCTAATTTTTATCGATAATGGCTGTCAAAACACATAGACCACACACATCCCCACCATCATAAACATTGAAAAAAAGCTAGATTCGTTAATACTATTCATTTAGCTAATTAACTACTACAAATTTTTTTTCCACCGTTGAAATGCACAATAAACAAAATAAAAGAACAAGAAGCAGAGATGCAAAGTGAATGTGTCGTGTAAACAGTTTGATTCGCCGTTCGTAATTGAGAAAGCGAACCATGTGATTCGGTTGTCGTGGAAACGCTGTTTTAGAGTGCAAAGTCCATTTTTTTAATTTTACAGGAGAGCAAAAAAAGCTTCTTATAGTCATTTTCTACAAGTATTTCGCAAACCTTTGAATTAGTGATGATCGATATTTCACTACCGATGATTTTATCATTGTGATTTAAAAATCACTTATAGTGACTGCTACTGCTAGGCAACAATATCAGTGATTGGTGATTTTTATACTAGCATGATATTTCGCTGTGAATGAAAATCACATCTGGCAATAGCTAGTCAACGTATGTTTATTTCCTTTTCCCATTACCTTTCCACAGTTGTTTTAAATAGACATTTTCATGTACGGAGTTTGATTTGATTGATCGCATTATTTTCGTTTTAGTTTTTATACCCGAGCGCACTTGTGCACAAGGGTATTATAACCTTGTTCACATAACGGTTGTTTGTAACAGGCTAAACGAATCGAGATAGATATAGACAAATGTATACATAAATGATCAGAATGAAAAGAGAAATCGATTAAGCGGTGACTGTCTGTCCGTCCGTCCGTTTGTGTACACGATAACTAGAGTAAAAATTGAGATATCTTAACAAAACTTGGTACTGGTAACGTGTACTTCTTTCGGGCGTAGGACGGATGGTTTTGAAAATGGGCAAAATCGGACAATAACCACGCCTACCTCCCATGTAACGGTAGTTTTCATAAATACGAAAACTGCGATATTTTAGTAACTACTCAAGCTTATTCACTCAAAATTGATATTTACAATAATTTTTAGACGAAATATATATAAGAATATTATAAATTTTTGGAAAATGGGCGTAGCCGCGCCCACTTATGATTACATGTGTATATCTTGGTAATCGCTCCACGAATTTCTCCCAAACTTGGCACAGTTGTTTTTCGTTCTAAAATAATAATTATTATTGATTTTTATTTTTTTCCTCAACGGTTATGATTATTATTTGCTTTTTAATTTTTCGACCACAAATAATGATTATCTTATTTTTATTTTTTCGCTTAGAGGTAATAATTATTATTGAGTTTTATTTTACCACTTAAAAATAATGACTATTTATAAAGTTGAAAAGGCTATACAGACGCAACTTACTGAAATTTTGACCTGAAAATTTTGAGACTTATTACCTTATTAGGGTGTCGCTACCTCTGAAAAGGATACGGCGGAAATCGCGCTGGTATAGCTTTTGATTTTTTTTGAATGATAATTTTTCTTAAGTGAAAAAAATAAAACTCAGCAATAATTATTATCTTTGACCGAAATAAAAAATATCATAAAATAATCAATATTTTTGATCGAAAAAATAAAAATCAAGTAATAATAATTACTTTTAAGCGAAAAATTAAAACTCAAATATTAATTTTTATTTTTAATCTTTATTTAGCCCGAAAAATTAAAATCACTGTAAATTACAGTGGGACGTAGGAAAATAAATACGTGGGTATAAACATTATTTTACGACGATTACAACTTGTTGATTTTTTTGGTTAAAATTTAAAAAATAATGATTATTTTCAAAACTATTCAAAATTAATGCTTGTAATCAGGGGCCGTAACGGTTATAAGTTTTATTATAAAAATTACTTTTTAATCGTTATTAACTGAGTTTTATTTTTTGCTCGGAAAATAATGGTTACGTTTTAAGTCTTATTTTTTGCTCGGAAAATAATGGTTACGTTTTAGTTTTATTTTTTGCTCGGAAAATAATCGTTTCGTTTTAAGTTTTATTTTTTGCTCGGAAAATAATCGTTATTTCTTGAGTTTTATTTTTTGCTCAGAAAATAAAACTTAATTTTTGCGTATGCGTATGCGCTTTTTTGCACTTTTTCTTTAGAAATGTGGTTCTCTTTATAGGGCAGAAAGAAAATATCTGTATTTTCATTACCCACTCCACAGTGGCGTTAAAGGTTCAATGCAGCCGCCCCTGTCTATTCACGCATGCGCATACGCATACGCAAAAATTAAGTTTTATTTTCTGAGCAAAAAATAAAACTCAAGAAATAACGATTATTTTCCGAGCAAAAAATAAAACTTAAAACGTAATCATTATTTTCCGAGCAAAAACTAAAACTTAAAACGTAACGATTATTTTCCGAGCAAAAAATAAAACTCAAAACAACGATTATTTTCTGAGTAAAAAATAAAACTCAAAATATAATGATTAAACTTGATTTTTATAAGTAAAAATTAAAAAATAAAAATCAGTGCCGCTGAAGGTACTCCGAGTAATAAGAAATATATTGGTTTACTCCTTATGCACGTAGCATTTCTCTTTAAGCGTGATTTTTTGTGTTGAAATTTCAAAGGATAATCGTTATTTGCGGTCCCTGCTTGTAATAATTCTTTAGCTAGAAATACGTTTATAATAAAATTTTGGAAAATGGGAGCGGCACCGCCGACTTATGATCACATATATGTATCTTGGTAACCGTTCGACCAATATGTACCAAACTCGGTATGATTATTGTGCATGCCACAGAAATCGCAAATTGCTAAAATTATGGCCACTTTTCATATAACGGCAAATTTCAAAAATGCTTGAAACTTCGATATTTCCAAATTTAAGGACGCTAATTTACTCAAAATTGATACTAACAACAATACCTTGAAAATAAGTAAATTATTTGAATTTTCGGAAAACGGGCGTGATGCCGCCCACTTATGACTATTATAAATTTATCTCATTATGTCTAACTGAACGTTCTAT